CTGAGGGGGCTTGTAAAATGCAGTGCTTTTCCACACCCCGCTTCTGTGGGGCAGACGAAGAGCCTGGCCCTGCTTGGGCAGGCTGAGTCGCCTGTTAGCACTGAATGTTTTTGTCTACACTGAGTATCTATTTACCATTTCATTTATGTCACTGTTCTAGTTGTCAGTGAATTCATGATCACTGAGCCAGGAATCAATGATAGAACAGAAGATTAAGTTGGTAAACATTTTTTATATTCGTTGTGGTCGCACATATGGTTCTGTCCTAACTTGGAATTCTTCTCTTCAGAAGGTTGGGTCCTCGACTCAGAAATGTGGTAAGCCTCTTTTCCCAGCTCAGCGCTCCGCGGCGCCCTCTACGTGCTGGGCACGGAGGCCTTCTCTTTCCTCCTGACTGTGTTCAGAAGAACATGGCTTGCAGGGTTTTCTCATGAATTCTCAGTAGTCCGAGTCAGAACACGGAGCAGAAGCCTGTTTCATATCAAAGCAGACAAGGACAGTGTCCACTGAAACTTTTGTGTGTGTGCGCATCCAGTTCTTGCCCCCTTCCGTTGAGCTGGGATTCCCACACTTCTCTGTTCAGTTGAATTGTCAGAATTGTCAGAAGCAGGTTGTAGGGTTGACCTCATGTCTGTTTAGCGGAGGAGAGAAATCCAGTGGGAGCCTTAGCTTTCCTAGTAGGAAAGTGTCTGGGCTTGAAGAGAGCCCCTCTGGTGCTTTCCTCCACAGCACAAGGTGTTAGTATCTTGGCGAAGGGCTCCTGCATGGGTCAGCCTCTCCTGCTGCCTGTTGGGCTCCCCTGGATGCCACATTAGTAAGACCTTACAGAGTAAGAGGCCAGCCAGGTCTCCTCGCCGTGTGTCCTTTGTTCAGGTGTGGGAGGAAGAAAGTCCCCAGGTGGTGACCAGAGTCAGAAAATAATTTAGAAATTTGCTCTCATTCTGTTTCTCTTCACAGTTTAGGGTTTTGGAGAAAGCTTCATTTTCTGGGTGGTGAGCAGGGCCCGGAAGACATCTTTGAGAGAAGTTCCCACAGTTCTCTCAACTCACTCCTCCTCTTCTATCTACGAGATCACGGGAGCTATTGTAGCAAGCTGTGGTAGAGAGGAGTAGGTTTAAGTTGTTAACACCAGTAATAGATGCTCTCTGCCATCTTCATAGGTGTACAGAAAGAAACCTGAGAGACTGTCTTGACCAAGCCTCTTATTTTACAGATGAATTTGAGGTCAGGGAAGGGGACTTGCTCTGAGCCATAGCTAGTTAGTATCTGAACCAGAAATGGGGGCTCCTGGCTCCCAGCCCTGGGCTTCTGAGGGAGTGATCCAGCTCCGCTGAATGAGGTGCAGGCCTGTCTCCGGCCCATCTGTGCGTGCACTTATCTCAGCCCTCGTGGCCGCTGTAGAGTCAAGCAGGCAGAGGATCTCCCTGCAGCCTCTGCTGCCTCCTGCTGCTGAGGCTAAGTATGTTTTTTTTAGGCAAGAAAGACAAATATACTGGGCCTGGTGAGGGCAGGAAACACAGAAAATTAGTAAAGGCTCCTTTTAACTCTGTTCTTCAGATTTTGCAAGAGGAGAGCTATCCTTGGGCATGAAGCTGGATTCACTGCTTTTCTCTTTTTTGTGCATCATCATAGTTATTCTGCATAAATGGTTATGAGATTGCCCATCATTACTGTTTATTCTGGATTCTGGGGTGCTTTATTGCTTTAAACTTCACTGGCTGAGAACAGAAATGCCATTTTTCAAAATAACCATTCTTTTTAGTCTACAGCTAAAGACTTTTAAAAAAAATTGTAGTTTAGAATTAAAAGAAGTTATGGCATCAGAATTTCATTGCTGGGATGTACCACAGAATTCATCAGGGATAGCCTGATGAATTCTGGGAGAAATGAGACCCAGAGAAGTTTAATAAGTGACTTAGCAAAGTTAGTTACTTAGTCAATGTCAGTACAAGTGGTCTAAGTTCAGTTCTCCCATTTATTTTGAGCTTCCTGTGAACTAGGTGTTGTTTTTTGTAGATTTTCCATAGATTATTTCTAATTCTTACCATATTTCTACTTAGTAGATATATTCCCCTTTTTTAAAAATATGACAGTGGAGGCTGAGACAGCATAAGTACCTTGCCCAGTGAGTGAATGATCTGGCAGCAATCTCGGAGTGGCGTGAGTCCCAAGGCCGTGTTTGAACACCACACTGTGCTGTGTCTCAACTTTCCTTTAAGATTTGCATTATCTTAATTAACTTACTTAATTTGTCTCAGCAGTAGTTCTTTCACTGTGTTCATTGTCAGACATTATAAGCTATTCTTCTTAAGGAAAGGTAACCCAGGTGCGTGCAATTGCAAATATTTAAAAAATCTGGAACTTCTTGCCGAGAACACTGTGTTCATCTCAAGTGCCTCCTTCTCATTGGGAACTCATGAACACATTTGGATACTGGATCACATTAACTCTTACTTGTGTAGCCTCCCTCACAGTAAAACAACCTGACCACCACAAAAGAGCTAAGGTGGAAAGATAGGAGTGACTCAGGCATGAAATGGTGGTGAAAAGATACTGACATTTTTACTTTGAGTTAATATTTGAGAATTGAAATGCAATTTCAGTTGGAATAATTTTAAACTTTAAAGTTTCTCAAAAATCTTGTTCCTTTCCCTCCATAGGTTAGAAATCATTACTGTTCCTGTCTATTAATTTCTTGTATTCTCAGAATCTCTCTTGTTACTCAGATACAAAAATTCTCCATATTATTTCAGTTTGAACAAAGAAGATGCATGAATGTCAGTGAATAACATATAGGCCCCTTGGATTGTGTTCCCATCAGGATTATAACCTAATTCTTTATGGAAACGTCTAATGAACCTTTCTTCCTGGTCCTTTGATGTTTTAAACATAATTTAATAGTTCTAATTGCAGTACTATTGCAAACATTAAATGTTAATTTTAAGGCAAAGAAAACAAGTGCCTTTCCTTCTGTTTTTCTGGTTTTATCTGTTTCACTGTTTGGTGCTTACTAAGAACTTGTTTGTTACCCATGGTTCATCTTGGTTTCTTTTCAGCCAATCCCTTTCCTCCTCGTGGCATAAGACGGTAAGCTCTCTGAAGGACATAGAGGCTATAAGCCCCAGGAGACAAGGAGCTTCATTTATTGCTGTAGGCCAGACACCTGCAATTAGGTGCATGACCTGTTCCAGGAGCTTGACTGATACTTGGTCAGCTGAAGTCATGTAAAAATACTTTCTAGGGAAAGTTATTTTAGATGGCTATAGAGATTTTCATCCTGTTTAAGAGATGAGTTTTCCTTTTCTCATTTTCCTTGTGGAACCTCTCTCTGCTCATTTCCCAATGCTGTTGTCTGTTCAGGTTGTTTAGCTATTTATAGTAGACAGAAGCATTGGGCTGTTGCTGAGAACTTTCTAGAATTGGAAATACATTTAATGGATACGTATTATGTGTCTACTGCTTGTGTTTTGCCCACTTTCTTGTCTGTTGTGGACAAGACCCCTAAATGATTTAAAGTGTATGATGATATTTATTAAGTGCTAATATTTACTGAGCATGTAGAATTTCTAATGTACAGGAGCATGATGGGAATATTTTAAAAATACATTTTTGTTTATGGGAAGAATTGAAAGATTCCTCTCTAACGGAAATAATTCCAGAAATACTGTGGCCTTGTATTTAGGTCACTGCACTCTAAGTTTTGTGGGTTTTGTTTTCGTGGATATTTTGGTTCAGCAGTTTCTTTGAGTTCAGTGCTGTCATATGGTCTGGATTCCACAGCTGTTTAATCCTCCTTTCGTGCAGTATTAAAAATGTATACACATCATTAGACATCACAGAGACGCAGATCACACATCACACCCACTAGGGTGACTCAAATAAAAAAGATAAAGTGTAATGAAGGGGGGTAAGTCGGAGGGGGAGACGAACCATGAGAGACGATGGACTCTGAAAAACAGACTGAGGGTTCTAGAGGGGAGGGGGGTGGGGGGATGGGTTAGCCTGGTGATGGGTGCTGAGGGGGGCACGTTCTGCGTGGAGCACTGGGTGTTATGCACAAACAATGAATCATGGAACACTACATCAAAAACTAATGATGTAATGTATGGTGATTAACATAACAATAAAAAATTATTTAAAAAAAAAAAGATAAAGTGTAGGCCATGACAAGGAGGGTGGAACCCTCGTACGTTGCTCATGGGAACGTGACAAGGTGCGGCTGCTGTATAAAACAAGAGTTACTCCATGACCTAACAGTTGTACTCCCAAGTATACACCCAAGAAAAATAAAAACGTATGTCTACACAAAAACTCACATGTGAATGTCCATAGCAATATTATTTGTAGGAACCAAAAAGGGGAAACAATCCAAATATCCATCAGGTAAATGGCTAAACAAAATATAGCATATCCAGTGGAATATTATTTGACAGTTTACAGGAACAGAAGTACATGCTACACATGGATGGACCTTTAAAACATTATGCCCGTTATAAAAGACCACTTTGTATGATTCGGTTTATATAAAATGTCCAGAACCAGCAAATGTGTGAAGATAGAAAGTAGATTAGTGGTTGCCTAGGGCTGGGGAGCTGACAGAAGATGGAGAGTGACTGCCAGTGGGTAGGGTGTTTCTTTTTTGGGTGATGAAAATGTTCTAATTTACATAGTGGTGATGGTGCAAATCTAAAAACCATGGAATTGTACACCAGAAAGGGTGAATTTTGTGTAAATTACATCTCAGTAAAGTTGTTATAAACAAAGTATAGGTACAGATGTGTTTGCTTCCATGAACATGAAGAATCACCAGAATGATGCACATTGGTTGCTTATGGGAAGGTGCTGGGCTCCCCTGGGGCCTGGAGGAGGAGGGAGATTTTTACTAAATACCCTTCGTGTCTACTGTATTTGGTGCCTTGTGATTATGTTACCTATTCTGCAAATGTTGAACGATGAAGGTATTAATAACTCCTGTCTTCTCTTGATTTTACTATGACCAGGTCCTTCAGGGGTTAGATTATCTGCATAGTAAGTGCAAGATCATTCATACTGACATAAAGCCGGAGAACATCTTGATGTGTGTGGATGATGCGTATGTGAGAAGAATGGCAGCCGAGGCCACCGAGTGGCAGAAAGCAGGTGCTCCTCCTCCTTCGGGGTCTGCAGGTGAGGGACCTGAGCCGGCTTTGTTTCAGTTTGTTTGGGGGCAGGGAGAGCCAGTAGAGCTGCCCACGGAAGGCATCTGGCTCCTTGAGTCAGACGTATACCTATTAGGAACTTTCGGAAGAGTCTGATTGCTAGAAATAAGGAGACCTGTTTCTTGAAAAGGAAGATGCCCCAATTAAATTATGCTTCAATATTTGAGTTCCTTAACTTTGTCCTTCCTTAAAAGTTTGTTTGAAATCTTACGAGCTGCTTCATCTGCGTTGGAACATTGTCTTGTGCTGCACACTTGTCTGCGGAGGACTATGTAGTAATAGCTTGCACATATGTAGCCGACCTATAGTCCTCAGAATTTTTCTCTAGTTTCAGGTTTGTTAGAATGCTTCCTAGTCTCCAGTTAGTCTTCCTCAATCTGAGTCTAACTGGTGGGTTTGGAATCAGTTACAAAAGACCCAAAGGTGGGAGAAGGCCAGATGTCTTGAGTATTGATATTGAGAGTTTTCCGTCTGGTTTTGACGGAGTGTAATGGCTGCAGTGACGGGACCACTCTCGCCCTCTCTTCCTGTGACCCGCACCCTAGTGTGTCACGTTGGGCGAGTGTGCCGCTGAGGGGCTGCAGCCCTGTGCCTGACGGGGCTCTCAGGAGAGGCACCACCTCCTTGTCTTGTTTTCCACCAGTAGGGTGTTTCTTAGATCAGAGACCTGTAGTCCATCAAGCTGTTGATGCCGGCAAAGACTGGTCATATGATTTCTAGAATATTTTATTTACTTCCGCTGTATAGACTTGCCGAATAGTTTTCAAACACAGGTGTACATCTCCTAATCTAGACTGTTCATTTTATCGTCTATAAAACAAATTTGGTTAGATGACTATGTGACATTTGTGAACTCTTCTCGGTTTTCTTAAGTTATCGGTCAATGCTTTGGGTATTTAATTTTAGATAAATAAGAGAAATGGCCCCATATGAGCAACTACCACTTTGCCTTTGCCGAGCCAGTCATTTGTTTGAGTTGGGTCACCTTTCTTTAGATCTCTGTGATTAAGAAGCTCTGATGTTTAACCATTTTGAAGTTGGATAGCCATTAAAAGGCAATAATTACCTTCATTTTACAATTCAGATTACCTGCGTAAAGATACAGATCTGTTTTCCTCTAAACATTCATTTTGTTTCATTTTGTTTTAGTGAGTACGGCTCCCCAGCAAAAACCCGTAAGTACTTACATGTACACTTATATTCACCTTCATGTTAAAAGCATCTGTTCCTTATGGAGCTTTTCAAGTTATAACATTAGTCTTTGCTTCTTTCTGCAACAGTTTTTCATTTAACGTTGTTTGGGGGCAATGGATTATACCTTTTTTTGTTATGTTCTCAATTGTAGATCTTTACTACATAGTAATATAAAAGACGGGCATACTTATAAATGCTCTGTATCCTTGAATATACAAGACTGATTGTTTCGATAAGTTGAAGTGATTTTTTAGAGGTGGAATAGTTCGAGCCTTTCCACGTTTGATCTTCATTTTCCCTGTGCACTTTCTGGGGTGCTGTTGGCTGAATCTGGTGAAATGTGATGTGATCCAGATAGAGTTTGAAGTATGATTATTATAAAACACTTAACATTAGTTCTGATTTGCCTCCAAGATACCCGCTCTTCTGAAGCTTGTACTCAGATTTGTTTTCCAGCCAGTAGTCAAATGTGAAAGAGTATTGTCTGTTTGTGGTATGAAACAAGCTGCTTGGAATTAAATCTTACCCCAGTGTCCCCAAACCTGCTTAGTTCCAGTAGAGGATAGAATCTATATATATATATATCTTGAGTTGATGAGTCACTTACAGGTTTTGAAAGAGCTTTGTGTGCCAGAAGCATTTGAAAGGAAATGTCGAGAAATTGAGTGTGCTCCCAGCAGCCCTCGCTTTGGAATGAAAGTCCCAGTTCCAGAGGGCTTGTCATAATTATGCCACCTGGCTCGCTGAGGCATCGAGTCAGCACCTCCAGGCCTGCTGTGCTTGGAGCAGCTTGTTTCGATGATGATTCTTTGGAAAGACTGGAGGCGGTCATTGCCGGCCCTTACCCAGTCACGCGGCGTGATCGGAGGCAGGCTGAAACAGTGACTTTTTCTTTTATTCCTTGACTTCATATGCTCATTGCTGAGAGTTTCTCCAGTTCTGGCTGTTGATAACAGCTCAGTATGTGAGACCCAGACACCAACAGTGCTGTTGACCAACAGCGAGGGCAGTGCCCCTGTGTCACCAGGCATTTCTTTTACGGCGCATAGCTGGGTAAGACAGAGCGGAGCAGAGAGGAGATATTGTTAGTTTGTGGTCTAGGCAGCGACAAATAAAACTTGCGAGAGGTGCTTCTTGTTTAAAGGCCAGAGTGTCTCAGCATTTTCCCTTCTTAAAGTTGAATTGAAATAGACTTCTAGGATGGGAGCTGTGTGTCCCTCTGAGGGCAGGGCCTGCTAGTAGCCCCCTTACTTGATGTTAGGCTTCTTCTGGTTTTACTGTGGGTCTCGTGTCTGGGCATTCGGTGCTCATGAGGAAGCCCTGAGGAGCCGGGATTTGTCCGTGTTTGCATGCTGCTAGCACTTGTATTCTTATGGAGTGCTTTAACAAGAGGCAGACTGACCTGTGGTATTCTCTTGCCATGTTGTAGATAGGAAAAATATCTAAGAACAAGAAGAAAAAACTGAAAAAGAAGCAGAAAAGGCAGGCCGAGTTACTGGAAAAGCGTCTGCAGGAAATAGAAGAATTGGAGCGAGAAGCCGAAAGGAAAATAATAGAAGAAAACATCACAACAGCGGTACCTTCCAATGAACAGGATGATGGATACGGCCCAGAGGGGAAACTCAAAACTGCCAGCTTCGAGGATGTGGCCGAGGGCGAGCCTGCCAATGACAACGGTCAGTCTGCACGGGGTCCTGCAGCTTCCTTACTGGGCGCCCGCCGGGTCACCACACAGGCTCACTTGGTGCTGCTGCTTCGGTTGTGAGGACGATTCTTTCCAGCTCCTGGTTGGGGAATGTGGGAAACCGTCTGCCACTTCATTTGTAAAATGAATGCCAGAAATATGTTAGTATTTCAAAATGGAAAACGTCTAACACCATGTCTCGAGCCTGCTAATGATTGTTCTTTATTTTGTAATTAACCTTTAACCTAACAGTAATGTACCCCACGGACATTTTCTGAAGATTGTAGAAGAGAGGGTGGAAGTGGAAAGGCAACTCTATTTATAAATAGTCATTTTCCCCCAAAATTAGCGTTTTCCTAATGAGAGCCACTTATTTACTAAATGAAAAATAAGATTTAGAAAACCCAAGATCTTATTTATGTAGTACGTAAATCAAGCACATTCAGCGCGCTTGGCTGGCTCAGTCAGTGGAGCATGTGACTCGATCTTGGGCTCCATGAGTTCGAGCCTCATGGTATAGAGCTTACTTGAGGCGTGAAAAAAACTAAATTAAGCACATTCAGAATTGTCTCTTGTTGGAGGAAATATGTACCTAGTGCCACTGTGTTGAGAGTGACACGTTCTGATTCTTAACCCATCAACTTTTTAAGGTGAGGCTGAGGACCAGGAAGAGAAAGAAGACACCGAGAAAGAAAACACTGAGAAAGATGAAGATGATGTTGAACAAGAACTGACCAACACAGACCCTGCGTGGATAGAATCCCCCAAAACCAACGGCCATATTGAGAATGGTCCGTTCTTACTGGAACAGCAGCTGGATGATGAAGATGATGAAGAAGAAGATTGCCCAAATCCTGAGGAATATAACCTCGATGAGCCAAATGCAGAAAGTGATTACACATATAGCAGCTCCTATGAACAATTCAATGGTGAATTGCCAAATGGACGGCATAAAATTCCCGAGTCACAGTTTCCAGAGTTTTCCACATCATTGTTCTCTGGGCCCTTAGAACCTGTGGCTTGTGGCTCTGCGCTTTCCGAGGGATCCCCACTTACCGAGCCTGAGGAAAGCAGTCCATCCCACGACAGAAGCCGGACGGTTTCAGCCTCCAGCACTGGAGATTTGCCAAAAAGTAAGTGTCCCTCCCCACCAGGTGTCTGTTTTTAGTGGCCCGGGTATCCTATCCTTGACACACGCGGTGAAGGGAATTGGCTGGAGGTGGTCACGTCATGCATTAACCATTTTCATTGTATTACAGTTGTACTCCCGAATAAGTAGTGTAATTTAAAACGTATTCGGTGCCACTTAGGCTTTCTCTTGCTTTCTGAGTATCAGTCCCATTTCTGAGCTTCTCTTACTCCTTCGGTAGTTAGTGACATCTACGGTTGCCAAAAAACTTCCCGGTCCAGCAGCTTACACGTACTGTAGCTTTTATAGAATATGTAGTTTATAATTTGTACTTCCATCTGATAGGTTATATTTAGTTTTTGGGTTTTGTTTAGTTTCATTTGTGTTCAGGGAAAAAAATATACTTGTTCTTTGTATTGAGGAATTCCCTTATTTCGATGGTTGTTCCTGATTGTAGAACTCTGCTGTTGAAATGTTAAAGCCATTTTAAAGGAAGTGGCATGGATTTTAATGTGACTCATTATTTGAACCTCTCTCCAACCCTTATTTTGAGAGTGAATGCCACATGACCTCTCTCTGCCTGTGCTATGCTAAGGGACTCCAGTAAGCAAACACGGGGCATCACCCAGATGGTTTCCCTTCTAGCCCACAGAGAAATAGCTCAGAAACCTCCTCTGCTCCCTCTGCTGACAAGAGTGTTTACCACACGATGAGTCAGTAGATGACCCACCCTGCAAAGAGCACGAGGGATCCCGCAGTCCTCCCAGTCCAGCAGGTGGGAGACCTGCAGAGCCGTCTTTGTTACTCATTGGCTCTAGCTAATCATCCTAAGGATGTGGGGGGTTTTGTTTTTGTTTTTTTTTAACTAGGGTAGACATATCCTGTTCCTTTTTACTTTACCCCGACCGAGGACTCTTTGAAGGTGCTTATAAAATGCTCTCACATGGAAGGTAGGTTCATCTAGGGAAAGACCCACCTCTGTGTGTCTCCTTCGCTCTCACACACTACTTCTGACACCTTTGGTCACTAAGTGTGTGTGTAGGGTGTTTTCCCTACACCAGAAGCTTTTCTGAGACCAGCTGGGTGTCCTGCAATTTAGCTTAATTCTGACACTATCTGGAGACAGCATCAGATCCCACAGGTTAAGAGCTCAGTCCCAGAGACGTCTGGACAGCTCAGTTGGTTAAGCGTCTGCCTTCAGCTAGTTATGATCCCAGGTTCCTGGGATGGAGCCCCAAATTGGGGGCTTCTCCCTCTCCCTCTGCCTGCCACTCCCCCTGCTTGTGTGTATTTGCACTCTCTCTCTCTCTGACAAATAAAATCTTAAAAAAAAAAAAAAAGGGCTCAGTCCCACAAGACACCCCCACCCACCTTCATATACCAGTGACAGGCCCATATTGTTGCCGCTGCTTCTGACCCAACAGCTATGAGTCGGAGGTTCCCCTGTCCCCCTGTTCAGGTTCAGTTAATTTGTTACAGCAACTCACAGAACTCAGGAAAACCATTTACTTGCTAGGTCACTGGTTTATTATGAAAGGATGTAACTCAGGAGCGGCCAGATGGTGGAGATGCAGAAGGTGAGGCTTTTATGCTCTTTCCGGGCGAGCCTCCTGCCCTGCAGTCTCTCACACATCCCTTCCTATCATGTGCTCGTGGAGCCTTTGTTCTCATTAACACTTTGGATTATGTCTTATAATCATTTACAGCTTCTAGTTTTCTGATGCCAGAATTGTCCCAAATTTGGGCCACGTGAGCCTCTTGCAGTTGTCTCTTCTTTCCTGTTGACACACCCCATTGCTCTTTGCATGCTTCCTCACTTTCCAGAGCCACGTTCCCAGTTCATACTCTCCCTGCCCCAGGCTGGAGTCAGTGTGTCTCCAAGTCGTTCTTGTGACTAATTTTTTTTTTTTTTTTTACCTTTTATAATGTACAGAATATATAGGAACAGTAGCATGTAAAATTTATAAATATGCATATAGGGAGGTGAATGTGCAGACATATTTTATTAATGGAGTAAACAGTGAGAAAGTACCACAATCACAAGTCTAACAGCTTCTCCCCGGCTTCTTGTCAAGGTCTAATAAGGAGCGTCTGTGTGCTGCCGGCGCGTCCGTGCAGGCTTCCCTCCTGCTTGGAGTGTTTCCTCCTCCACATCCACGGTCCGTCCCCTCAGCCAACTTCCTCTTTTGCCGGCCAGCGGCTCCAGCACAAGCCTGCCCGGGTTCCCCTCTTTACCTACTGCTTGTGCTCTTCTTAACCAAATGCTCGTTATTTCCCTTCTCTTTCTCCTCACTAGGATGTAAAACCTTTGAGAGCCCTGTGCGTTTTTATCTTTGTACCTTCAGCATCTAAGTCAGTGCCATGATAAGCCTTTATTGATCTCTGGCTGTATTCTTCTCCTCTTCCCTTGGTCCCGCCTTTGCCCAGTCACCATCAGAATCTGGTTCTGTCTAGCGCACGCTCCATCCCCAGCACCCGTTCTGCTGCACCAGTGTCACGTCAGGGCAAAGTAGGAGGTCCGTTTTTCTGTTGATCCAGATCTCTTACCAAGCAGACCTTTTCACGATTGTTAAATTCTAGGTCCACCCCAGGGACAGGATCTCCTTCTCCAGTCCTTTGTCTGGAGGCACTTGGTTTTGGCTCGACGACTGTGGGCGGCCTTCTGCACGGGAGGTGTTCTGTTGCCTGTGTGGAACCCGGGGCCCAGGGGCGGCTGGCGGCCCCCTACCACTGTGTGGCCATGAGGCCAGAGAAACAGGCTCTGTTCAGAGTGGGCGGATCCTTGTCGTGACAGCAGAGCATACACACGTTAGGGAGGAGTAAAAGAAAAAGGCAAGGAGGAAGGGTGGAGGAAGAACTTACATGCCAGGCGGAAGGATGTGGACTTTTCCCTGGAGTGGCTTTTCCCTGGAGTGACTGGGGAGCCGCTGAAGGCTGAGGAGGCAGGATTCCTTTTGGATTATTAGCTGCTAGAGCCATAGCGTGCATCTTGGCCCATCCCATCTGGTCCTGCTGGCTTTCCCTGCAAGGTGCTCACCCTCACCTGGCAGGGACCCAGGTCGCTGCCCTCACTGCGACTCTTGCTTCCCGGTCTGTCCTCTTTAGGGCAGTCTCCAGAGAGAGCTTTTCAAAGCACACCTTGTCATCTTGCTGCCCCCTCCTTCCCCGAGGACCTGCAGGGTCTTTCCACTCAGAATAGCGCCCCGAGGTGTCGCTCTGTAAAGCTCAGGAGCTCTCTGCAGCTTTCCCTGGCAGCTCGCTCCCTGGCACTGTCCTCTCCCCCACCCCCAGCTCACCCTGCCCCTCCCACAGTGGCCTCTTCCTCACAGATCTCAAAAGGGCAAGCTTGTTTCTGCGCCTGCTGCCCCCCTGCCAAGAGCCTCTTGCCCTTCGTGTCTCCCTTTGTTCAGGCCTCTCCTCACACATCACCTTCTCTGGAAAGACCTCCCCTGCACACCCTCATCGTCCATCTCCTTTCTTTGTTTTTCTGCTTTCTGGCGTGTGCATCAGTCATTTTATTTACTTTATTGCCTACTGATACATGAGTTTCCTAATTTGGGGTGTGGTGGAGGAGCCTTACACGTTTTGCTCATGGTGTTCCGAGTGCCAAGAGAGTACACAGAAGGGACTCAGTCAGTGCTTGGTGAATGAATGGGCCAGGCACGGGCATTAAATCTTCCAGTGCTACTCCTTCCTGGGCCTGGTGCCGCACCTCTGCTTATAGAGAAGGTATCCACGCCTTTATTGTAAGGACGTTTGAAAGTGTATAAAGAGTCCGCGTGAGCCCAGCACAGTGCCTTGCAGATAAGCCATGACGGCCGTCTTGTCACTCGGAGGCACCACACTGCCATCTTACTCGTTTCTAAGATAGCTTCACATGGAATGACCAGTGTCACTCGGATACCAGGTCAGCAGAGATGATATAAGAGCCCCAGCCCTTCCTGAAGTGACATCTCCCCACCTCTCTCTTCCCACTTTTCATTCCCTCCTTGGCAAAGGCGGAGAACAAGGAAGGGCTGTTGGAGGTCACCACAATGATGACGTGGTCAGAGGAGCTGATCCGATTTCCGGGCCAAGCAAAGTTGGTACAAGTACACAGCACACACGAGGGCCCCTGTGTTTAAATGGGCTTTGTTGAGGGATGCAGTCAGGTACACCAGCCCAGGTAATCATCACACTGAGAAAAGGAAGTCACAACTACAAGTAGGTTCTCCTTTAAATCCTCCTTTGTGTTCGTCACCAGTTAAAGTTCTGAAATGAATTCTCTGTTATTTGGAAGGCATTGTGAGCAGGGTCCCTGTTGACCAACCTGAACCAGGAGGATAACCGCCTGTCACCAAAGAGACTTTGACTAGTGATCATAAATGAGGGGGATTAAATACAAAGAAACTGTATTGAACATGTGCGATGCTGTGTTTTTTACAGTGCATTTCCTCTCCTGGGAAATGTCTTTATAAACACCTGGGAATGGGTGGTGATCACAGACCCGCCCTTCCCCGCGAGTACCCTCAGGCACCAGCTTACTCTGGGCTAGTCAGAACTGGAGCTTCACCCCCTTCTTCCTTAGACCTTTGATCAGAATTGTTTGGCTTCCCCTCTGCTCTCTGCCAGTGGGGCTTTGGTTCTGGCCAGTGGAAGCCTCACCCCACGGTTGGGGCGGGGTTCTGACTCTCCTGTGCTGATTGGCTGGTTAGTTGGTTGGTTTGGGTGGGGGTGGCACGGCCCCTTCCTCTTCTTTCTGGAGCACTGAGCCTCACAGAATTTAGGTCACTTGCCAGAGTCTTACAACTTGTTAGTGTTGAAACTTCGATTTGAATCCCCTTCTCCAGACTTCACGAGATCAGTGCTCTAACCCCTGAGCTACAGAACCCTGTTCCTCAAACCCCAGCTTCCATTTTCTTGCCTGCTGACTCTCTTCGATTCAGTGACCTGCTGGATTCCTCTGGCCATTTCTAGTGCTGCCGCTCTATCCATTGGGTCAGCGTGTTGACGTCCCTCTTGGAGCTCTGCCCCTCTGCCTGTCCCCCAGTCACTGTACACATTTTGCGTCCTCGTGGGGTCTTTGCTGCTTTCCTTCTTGTCATTTGTGACTTCCTGTGTTTGTCCCGCCAGCTCAGACTGCCTTTGGTGAAGCCCACAGTGCACCAGCAACCTTATAAAGGAGAGAGTGGTCGCAGGGCAGATGGCAACAAGGGAACACAGGAGCCTGGCCTGCCCGTGCTGACCCACAAGCCTGAGGAGTGGGTCTTGAGGGTTAAGATGTTGGGGAGCTCTGCGGGCATCCCAGGTCCCGGGCGCCTTGCTGCCCGTATGCGGAATGCCAAGGAACCAGAGCGCCCTTGAGCACTGGGGCTTCACGGCATGGGTCTACCCAAAAAGAGGTTGGGTATGCTTTAGCAGTGCCCAGCTTTGGGTGAACAAAAGGGTATTTAATGTTCTGCATTGAGTGGACTTTTCTGTTTAGTCTGTAAATACCATTTCAGAATGACTTCTACAATAAATAAGTGCTGTGGTTACATCTCTTCCTTTCCAGAAATCCAAGCTTTTGGTCAGTTTGAGGTTTGATGAAGATGCTTACTCACTTCAGGATTTTCTGTCTGGGCCCCTTCAGGTTATTTTCCTTTGTCAGTTGCGCCCTGGTTAACTATGCTTGATTCAGGTGCGGTCTGGACTTGTCTGAAAAGCTCTTCTGGCCCCAGGAGCCCTGAGAAGCCTAGTAATCCTGTGTCTGCTGTTGAGCTTCTCTCAGGGTCACCCTGGGTTTAAATTTGGGCTAAACCCAAGTTGATTAGCCATGGCCTTTAATCTGTATTGCTTAATCAAGTATCATCTAATCTTTGAGGTCTGTGTGCTCAGCCCAAGCAGAAGGAGAGGTAGGTGACGTGGTTACCAGGTGAACTGTGTGTCACTTACAAAGGGATTGGCCCCCCAGGACCGTGTCCTCACTACCTTTGTGTTTCACGTGATAGCATACCAGTGGGTTCGATGTGGTCCGCTGTGGGCTCTGATGCAGTGAGGAGCGGCTAGAAAGACGCACAAAGGAGCCGAGTAGTAGGGTCGACCTAGAGGTGAAGGCATCAGGGATATAAGGAGAAAGGACAAGGCTGGGTCAGGGAGGGGTCTGGGCAGCCCAGTGCGCTCTCTTTTGTGAAATATCTTCCAGGGATAGAGACCAAGAATTTAAAATTCTGTTGAGTTCAACTTACAGGGTTCCAGGCCTAAATGATCATCCCATCACTTTTCTAAAAAAGGAGACTGCCCGGCAAACATCCTGTGCACACACGCATACCACTTGCCCCAAGCACTAACTGTCCTGCTGTTTGCTCATGCCAGCAAAAACTCGGGCGGCCGACTTGTTGGTGAATCCCCTGGATCCACGGAACGCAGATAAAATTAGAGTTAAAATTGCCGACCTGGGAAACGCTTGTTGGGTGGTAAGTAGAGTTTTCTTTCTAGAACATTTTGCTCATGATCATGTATTAGAAGATACTTTTTTTCCTTTTTAATGTCTGTTTTCCTCCATAGTAATACAGTGTGTTCCTTTCCAGCATAAACACTTCACCGAAGACATCCAGACGCGTCAGTATAGATCCATAGAGGTTTTGATAGGAGCAGGTTACAGCACGCCTGCTGACATTTGGAGCACAGCGTGCATGGTAAGAACGGCCGCGGCCATTTTGTTCTGTGTAGGGCTCATCCCCTTAGTGCTCACGAGGGGCCAGCGCCGCTGCTGCGTGTGTTCTGTGCTTCCCAGACTGTGAGGTTTGTCCACTGTGGGACGGGTGAGGGCAAAGTTGCTGTCTTGAGTGTCTTGAGAAATGGAAGAATTCTTCTCAGGCGTGTTTGGTGGGGGTGGGGGTTGGGCGTGTCTGGTTTAGTCCTGTGACAGACAGTCTCTGGTCAAGGCCCTGCTCGGGCCCGCCGCCCCGAGAATCACACCCTCTGCTGTGGTGACAAAGTCACTTCAAGTAATTCCTCCTGGTTTCCGAAAGCTCGCAGGCCGTGTGCAGGTTTGCCCTTCACTCGTGCCGTGGAGGACGACGAGGCCGTGGTGTCTGGGGGGAAGATTGAGGTCGAAAGGCGGGAACCCTCCTTGGTGACCCCTGACAAACCTTACCGCAGAGGAAAGGACTTCCCTCTGTGCCAACATTTAATGTCTCTCCTTTTATAAGGCAGACTCTAGAGAATATTCTGGCTTATTGCTGTAGGCTGTCCGCTGACTTTCAGGACACAGCAGCTGCACGTACCCCCTCTGACTGAGTCTGTTCCGGGAGAGAACACGCAGGCGTCTCTCGTCAGGGCCTCAGGACACACCTCTTCTTTCACCGGGGTGTCATCATCTCTTCTGGCTGCATCGCAAGGTTGCTTGTGTTTACACCGTGCCCCAGGCCCTCACCGGGGCATTTTTTTCTCACTTAACTGCTGAGCATGAGTGGGCCTCATCCATAAGCCAATTTCAGTGTCTCTTTCTTGGCCCCGTTTCCTAGCTGGGGGGATGGGGGTGGGTGGGTGGGTGTTTGCTTGGGGTGCTCTTTCGTGTTTTTCTTACTTTATTTTTTTTCCCCAAATTCTCTGATATATTTAAAACAAGAGTCTTTGTGTATGAAACTTGGCATTTGTCTTCTTACTAAAAAGAGCAATGACGAATAAACGTCATTATCTGTTATTCGGAGATTAACAATTCTTTGGAGTTTGCCGGCCTGCGTGCCCTCCAATGCTACAGTAAAAAGTGTGGTTCGAGATATGAAAAAAAGTAGATGTTTGTGTAAAGTTATCAAGATCTCAGGCAACAGATGTGGCCAAAGAGAGGAAACAGTGTGCCTTTTTGCTGCCACTTTGCTCTGACAAATCATACCAGATAATTTTTAAAACCAAGTTTTTCAGTGAGTATCAGAAACTTAGGGCTTGTTGGGCTAGGTATGGAAAAGAATGGTGAAAAGAATGGGTGGGCGTGTGCTGACTGCTTTGAATTTGGAGACTGCTGTGCGGGGAGGGCCAGGGAGGGCCAGGGCTCCGGAGGACTCTGGAGGGCAGGGGGGTGGGGGGCCCTGGGAGGGCAGGTGGTGGGGGCCCTGGAAGCCGCAGGAGCCTGAGGCCGGGTCAGGAGGGAGGGAGAGGAGTGTTCCATTTCAGGATGTGGTGAGGTCAAGCCTTACTTGCCCTCAGCGGCACAGAAGGGGCCACGCCAGGCTGCCCTGAATTAGACTCTGAGGGCTCTTTCAACTCTGAAATGCTGTGCTTCTAATTTGGGGTGTTAAATTTTGGTGATATAACCAGAAAAATAGGACAAGATCACAGAGGTAGGAGAATAACGGTGAAGCTGTCAGTATACTTTTGTACCAGATTGTCTGTCTGACCTTCCATGAGGTAAGGACTTGCCCCTCACACAGTGTCCGCATCCTGGCCACTTCCACTGTGAACAGTGATACAGAAGTAGCAGACTGTCTCCTTTCTCCTCCCTCCTCTTCCCCCAGATTAGATGTAAACTCCCTCAGGACTTCGAGGGCTATTTAGGTTTTTCTTTTTTTTTTAATTTTTAAATCAGTTGGTTGTCGTCAGGGTGAAATTTTTTTTTCCCCTGGAAGGGGGCAAGCCTTATTCCCCACCCCCCCCTTCCATCCAGAAGGGCGAGGCTGAGAGGCTGAGAGGTCCTTTTTGTTCTTTCTAGAGAACGTGGTAAACACAAGGCAGTGTTTCCCCACCCCACCTTTGTGCTGAAGTTTAGAAGTACAACAGTATATTAAATTCATGATTCTAAGCTGTATTAAAGCTCCAGATTGGTGGTGGTGGCGTGGCGTGGAGTCCTTTGATGACATGAATGGCATTAAGTCTTACAGACGCCCGGGGGTGGGGGGGCGCGGAGTTGAGAGCCACTTGGAGGCAGCCAGTGCTCATGCTCATTGATGGGGGCCCTCGCTGTTGTCAGGAAGGCGGGCAACAAAACAGGGCAGAGTAACTGAAATATGTCACTTGTTGAACCTCTTTTCCTTTTCTTGAGTTTTGGGGGCCCTCCAGATGTAAGTGGGTGTGATCTAAAAATTCTCTGTGGGCTGAGGGATGGACTGCTCTGCACTTGAGTGTCAGAGCCCCAGGATAGGTAAGTTCTACGGGCTCCACAGTGAGCCCCAGTGAGTGCCCTAGGAGTAAGAAAAGCTAGTCTGACAGACTTCACGCTCCTTCCTCGGCACTGGTCACATCACAGAAAGAATAGGCACCTTTATTTATTCAAAATGGTGTGGGGGCGGCATTTCAAGAAAGAGGTGTCTGGTCTTCCCAGAACCGGAGAACAGAGTTTGGTCCGGGGCACGTCCTTGTAGGGGATCTGGTCAGGTACAGAGGAGGAATCCATGGTTCCCAAGCATGAACAATCCCGAGTATTGACCTAGTAATAGTAAAGGTTGTGCTGGGAGTGAGTTCGTGAGTGGCACGAAGGCAGGCCGGAAAGCCCAGAGGCCGACATTTCCACTGTGACCCTGTCTCTGCTTCGTTGAGCAGGTTCTTTTTGTTAGGAAAAGCTCGTCCCTCTTCAGAGAACTAGGACCAGATAACATGACAGCACAGGCTCCATCTTACTTCTCCTCTTCCTTTTTTCTTTTAAGTCATTTCTTTGTGGGCTTCTTTGAGAGTTTCACTGGAAATAACATGCATGCTAATCAGCATGGTCATCTTTCAAAGAACACTCAGTTAACATACCTTAGTGTTAGGCTGTAAGAATTGGACTCAACCCGATTGAAATGTTTTTGAAAACTAACTAGAAGAGTGAGTGAGGGCTCCAGGGCAGGGTTAAGGAGCAGCCGTGGCACCAGCCTCGGGGCTCCCGCAGCAGCTCCTCCAGGAGGGTCTCCCCTTTTCCTTATGACTCGTCCCAGGCGGGGAAGACTCCCCTGGCCATTCACCATGAAATCCGACTGTTCCCTTTGGATCTGTGGCCACGTGGGAGGTTTTGTACCCTGATCTGAGATCGGTATTTCTTGTTCATTGGGTGGAGGAGAGAGGCCCCAGGTGAGGACCTGCCCTGGCCCTGTGGCGCTTGCGTGACCAGCCGACTGTGTGTGACACTGGGCATGTCCAGTCCTGTGGGATCCTGAGGTCATGAACTGGTGCTTTCATGGGGTAGCTGACAACCATCCTGTCACCCCACTTCCCTCCTTTCTTAAAAAAAAGAAAAGGTGAGGCGATGTGGTCGTGACGGCCCGTGTGCGCACACCCTTGGTTTGTGGAAGGCCATGGTGGTGAGCCCCTCCCCAACACTCTGGTCAGGGCCTGGGGAGGAAATGGGGGGATGCAGGAGGGCAGGGCCGGAGCGTCAGTGCTCAGGATCCGGGCCCCTGAGCGCTTTTTTCAGAACAGCAAGATCTAATACAGAATAGAAGTGTACAAAAGCCAAAAATAGGATTTAGCCTTTTCCTTTTTAAAAAAAGATTTTCAAAACATGGTATTGGGTCTGCACAGCAATGGCAGTTGCCATCTTTATATATCGTTAGCAGATTAAACTCGTGGTCCTGAGGGCTGAGGGTTTTCTTCAGGGCCAGGCGAGAAGACTCCCCAGCAGAAACGGAACCAAGCTGGTATGCTGGGGGGCAGGTAGTGGCAGTCCGGGAGGCAGGCCAGCTCTCCCTGTCCCCCTCACTGGCTTCCTTCTGGCCCAGGGCAGGAGCCACAGAACCTTTTTTGTGGCTCTAGGTTTTCCTTTGGTTGAATCAGAAATGAAAGAAATGATGAGATGCTGAAAATAGCTCATGGTTACTAAGACACGAGGGTCTTGGCTTCACCTGATGTCTGGGGGCCAGATGAGCCTCTGGGTTGAGGGCAGGCGTGAATCTGTCCTGGGCCTGGATCGAGTCCGGGCCCCGCCGTTCAGAGTGGGGGTGCGGTCCCCAGCCAGGCCTGCACATGGCTGCTGGTCGACATGCTTCCTGCCAGATTGGGGGGCGGGGGGGGGCGTAGGCTTTACATCCTCCAGTAGAGGAGATGTAGAATATTTCTGAAGTTTCTTTGAACTTTTTGGAAGGAAGAAAAAAGTTGGTATTGAGCTTTTTTAGAAGGCTCTTTGGTTTGATCAGATACTCCTAAAATGTAGGTCTCTTGTACAGGAGAGAAAGTTGCTGCCTTGGGGCTGCTTCACAGAGTGCTAAGCATGTCATCTGTTGTATCCTAGGCATTTGAGCTGGCAACGGGAGATTATTTGTTTGAGCCGCATTCTGGGGAAGACTATTCCAGAGATGAAGGTGAGTGTCGCTGCCTGCCGCATATCTGAGGCTGGGTCTCCTGAGAGGCCTGAGCTTCTGGAGAGTAACGTTTCTGTACTGAAATAGAGCTGTGTTTTGGTTTTCAAACGCTTTTCCTTGAGCTTGAAGCCCGCTCAGGCACAGTGGATGGGCAGCTCCGTGGGGAGCTCTTGGCCCTGGCTCGCCCCTCCCTCCTGCCTGCCTCGGGCTTGGTGCCCAGCAGCCAGGAGAGGACGGCTGTGTGGCCGCGGAGCCTCTCTGAGGCCCTTTCGTCCGCTGATCTGCTGCCCGTTGCTCTTTCCTGTTGGGGAGCTGAGTTGAAAACCTGGGAATTCTGGCTTGAATTCCATCTGGAAACCTGACCATCCCCATGCTTCCTTGCTTGCAGTGCTGGGGTGGCCTGGGGCAGGCTGGCACCAGTCACCGTTAACGCTCCAGATGGTGCCGGAGGCCCGCCAGCCCCGCGAGCCTCCGCATGGGTGTGCGCAGACGGTGTTGATTTGAATCGAGTTCTGAGTTTTTACTAATTTCAATTTTCCCCCTCTTCTTTTATCCCATCCTTCCCTCTGCCCCTCCCATTCCCGTATCCTTTTTTTCTCTCCTCCATAGACCACATAGCCCACATCATAGAGCTGCTAGGCAGTATCCCAAGGCACTTTGCTCTATCTGGAAAATATTCTCGGGAATTCTTCAATCGCAGAGGTAGTACCTCTTCTTTTTGAAAAGCGCCATGATGCAGACAGAAACGGGATAGCAGCTGCTGATTGTAGCATTAATGGTGACAGACCTGTCTCCTAAATTCAAAAAGCAACCTGGCAAAATTCCTATGCTGATTTAAAAAAGTTGAGAGGGAAGGCCACACTCATCCCGGGCTGTGGTCGCCCCGTGCATCCGGCCACTATCCAGGTCGCGCTCTGTTTCTGTCTGCGCGGGCGGTAGCAGTGTCTGCATGCAGTGTACTGATTAAACTGTCGTGTGTTTCTGTTTTGCTGGCAATGTTTCCCAATGCAGATCACATAGCATTGATCATTGAACTGCTGGGGAAAGTCCCTCGAAAATACGCTATGTTGGGGAAATATTCCAAGGAGTTTTTCACCAGAAAAGGTAACGGTATTTATGCAACGCTAATTTTCAGCATAATCCTCTCCCAAAAGGAGAAATTGTGCATTCCCATTTGGGCAGTGGAGAAAGACCTGGACCTTTACAGCTGGGGAATTCTGCTGAAGAAAGCTCTCAAGACATAAGCTTGCACCATCTCCTATCTGTGGAGTACGGATTTTGTAAGAGCACACCCTTCCTGAAACCCTTGGTCTCCTCCACACCTCCCTCTCCTAATCTAAGCCCCATCTGTAGATTCGGGGATTTGTAAAAAGGAGTTTAAGTGATTTTTAGGAACCAGCTAGACTTTACGTTTTCTATGTTCTTGGAGCCCCCAGCATTTCTGCCATGGAGTCGATGCAGCCTGGGGACCGGACCGAATGTCCCTCCGTGTGTCGTCTTGGGTCTGTTTGAGCTGCTGGGGAGTGGGTATGGGCCTCTGACACCCGGCACCCCGTACTCTGAGAAATCCAGTTTTGTTCTGTTGCATTATTCACACTGCGTTATAGCTGATTTACTTTAATATCACAGTTCTGTTGATCTTCCCTTGACGGAACCCTGAACAGCCGTTTCTTTGCCTTGTATAGTCTCTAATCAGTGATCAGTTTTTTAAAATACCCAAAAGCCCCAGGAATTTATTTTTACAGGACTGCTCCCCAGTGCCGTGTTCTTTTGTGGGAGCACGTTGCTCCTCTTAATTCATGTTTTTCCAGCTTGGATTTTTTTGGCGGGGGGTGAGGGCTGCAACACCTTTTAATAAAAAACTTTTAAAGTTGGTGTGAGCAGGACGTGGAGTTCCTAGAAGTTTTTCACAGTCCCTGGTACTCTGTTCCTCTCTGCTTTGGCCAGATTTGGAGAACTGGTTTTGACTTTCTATTTTCCTGTGAGATAGATAAGGTGTTCTTTTAGGGGAATAATCCTTTTTTATACCCTTTGGTGATGTTGACCTAACCAGCCCCCGTTTCATCCTCTCTATATGCTTGTTAAATGCACAGAGACTTGAGAGCTAACCGTGCCTTCGCTGGGGGTTTCCTGTCCCACTTTGAGCACAGCGACCACGACTCCCAGATGTTCTGGGATCACCCAGTGGGCAACCTCTAAAATATGTAACTAGGTGCTATTATTTTCTTATTACCTTTTAAAGGCTTATCACAGGAGAAAAGATTGTCAGGGGAAACTGTTCTTCAGATAGCCTGTATTAATTTTGGTTCCTAGAATCTCTGTGGTCTTCACATCTGGGTCACATGAGCAAGCCCCGGGGTTCCCCTCACACGTGGACCCAGGAGGCTTGAGGGGGAGGGGCCAAGAGCTACCAGCCCAGTCTGTCGTGAAAGAGGGGATATTACTGGCCTACCGATGCTCCAGGGGAGGGGACAGGACTGCAGGGCACTGGACCACAGCACCTGCCCCTTTAGCCAAGCAGAGAGCGTGCCGTAGGCGCATGAGCAGGTTCCAGCGTCAGGCTGTGGGGGAGCCTCATTTCCCGCGCGGGCATCAGGCATGGTGGGGCCGACAGCCGGTAAAGGCACACAGGGCTATTTCCTTTAGTTGTTCTGCAGCAAGGAGCTGCTTAGAATGCCTGGGCTCTGCGATTCCCTCAGTCCATCGTCCGTGGCTTGGGAAAGGCATGCTGCACACACTGGGGAGGAAGAGGAACAGGGGCAAAAGGAGGGGCCCGAATGGTGAGAAAATGAAGCTGTGGGGGTTACCTGAAGTCACGTGCTCAGGTTTGTTCCTGGAGGCAGCTGCTCTGGGCCCCTTGTGCCCACTGGGCTTTGCCTGAGCCGCAGACCACCAGGGACAGTGCCTGCCGAGGACCAGCCCAGACCCAGCACGGGGCCCGGAGCCCTCGCCTCGCCTCTCCCCACCTGGCAGATGCTGTCTTTCAAGGACAGGCTGATGAGTGATGCACTGCGACCTGATGCTTGGTCGCCGGCGGCTTTCAGGGTTACAGGTCCCTGTCCTGTAACCCTCGGTGCTGGAAGGTGGTGTTCCCGCCGCCTTTCGGTCAGCACCACCACTCCTTGGGACCATGGTGGTCTGTGCACGACCACTGCCTCCTCCCCGATGCGAGTACGAAGTGCTGCTGGGTTGTCAGGTCATGCACGTGCACTTTAGGACTCGTGTGTGTGGGGTTTTTTTTGAGGAGCTTGTTTGAAGGTGAGCTGCGCAGTAGAAGTGCATTTGGCATCCTTGGTAAAGGTAGACCGAAAACATTTCGACATGGTGTTACTTTTTTTCCTTTGTTTGGATATGAGGGAGAGTTTGTGACGAGGCAGGAAAATCCTCTGAAATGACTGGGTTTTGGGACGTAGGTCCTGATCATTATTTATTTATAATAACTGGAGATGAGAAGGGATTTAGGGTCGTTACAGAAGTCACAGAAATAGTATTATGATGAATGAGGGCCTGTCAGGAAAACAGATTTCACCATGTCCCTGAGGACGAGGGGAAGGATGTTACGTTAAAGATGGGTTTTGGCACGCCTCCCTAAGTAATGTGTGTGAATATACATTTTGGAAGTAATGAGATCTTAAATGTATCCGTTGAAAATTTTTTTAAAAAAATATCTTTGTACCAGAACTGATAAAAAGAGAAAAGCAAAATCGAAGACTTACTAAATTGCTTATGTCACTTTGGAAAACAGCCAGTGGCTGAGAGGGAGTGAACAGCACATTTTTGTGCTCTCTGCCCTCCTGGGTGGGAAGCAGACTTAATCCCCACCAGGAGGCCAGGGAAGGGAGAGTAGGCTCTGTGTGTTAGAGCTGAAGATCAAGTGCAGCTCAGTGACATCTTCTTGGTTATAATTCTGGGTAAAATGGTTGTTACTAGTTTGAATTATTTCTTGGCCAGGAGTTTTTAAATGGAGCTGGATTTTTTGGCAGAGGATATAATTCCTGTTCTCACCCTGTTAGGGTTTAATAACCAGCAAGTTAGTCCTTCAGATGTGGACCTTAACCACCAAAGATGACTCATAAAAGTCATCTTGATCAGTGTGTTAGGATGTGCCCCAGTAGAAGTAAGCATCTCTGTGAATTCTGTCCCTGTTTTGTCCTCTTACAGTCTGAAGGTGTATGTCCCCTCCCCAAAAATTCATATGTGGGAATCCTACCCCCCCCCAAAGGTGATGGTATTAGGAGGCGGGGCCTTTGGAAAGTACAGAAGGTCATGAGGGTGGAGCCCTTGTGGAAAAGACCCCAAACAGCTCCCTTGCCACGTGTGCACTGTGAGGAGGCCACGAGGAGTCCGTGGCCCAGAAGAGAGCCCTCAGCAGAAGCCAGCCCTGCTGGCCGCCTGACCTCAGACCACCAGCCTCCAGGACCGTGGGGAAGAAATTCATGTTGTGATTTATAAGCCACTCGGTTGTATTTTGCGATGGCAGCCAGAATAGGCTAGGTAGGACACGTCCTCAGGAAGCGAGCCGTCCTCCAGAAGTGCCCCAGCCCTCAAGTGATGGTGGCACAGACAGCGCGGTCAGGAGCCCGCCTCCCTGCGCTGCTCAGCAGACGTCGTGTTGACCCGTCGGCCCCCTCGGTTCAGTAAAGCTTACTGGGCTGAGAATGGAAGTATCAGAGGAGTTTACTTTAAAAAAAAAAAAAATGGCTTGATTCTAGGTAAGGCCATCGAGTGTGTTGGAATGTGTGGGAGTGACCGTGTGTGTTGGACCAAAGACCTTAAATTGCAATTGGAAATTTCAAAGCACACACAGAGACTGCGTGTGCAGAGTGTTCGCGGCTCCGGCCCTCGCGTCCCCTGTGCCCGGCCTGGACAGGCTGAGAGCTGAAGGGAACTCTTTAAAAGAGACGCTGTGTTCCGTCTTCTTCATTTTGCGTGTTTGAGATGAAAATTGTTAGAAGGATTTTAGCTTCTTCCCGGAATCACCCCAGATCACCAGACTGCCTGATTTCTGGGAAGCGTGGGGCTGCCGCGGCCCTGTTGCCGGGCTGGGCGTGGCGAGCTGGCACTTGTCAGTCGCTGCGGGGTGCCGGGGACCTCCAGCCCGGGGCTGATCTCCGCAGGAGCTGGACACGGTGCAAGTCACTAGAAAAGGTTCCTCACACTAGTGAGTCTGAAACTTTTAAAATGTGGACGACTTTCACGACACTCTGACTTTAAACATCAGTTCTGAGTTGTGAGATTCTCGGCGAGATCAGGGGCTCGCTGTGTCTTGTTTGCCGCGGGACCCCCACAGCCGGCTGCAGAGTGGGCACCACAGGTACTTAATACGTTTGGAAACTCAGCTGAACCCTGTTCAGCCTTCGTTCCGGGTGGAAACCTTTGTGAGCCAGAAGCAGGTGGCGCTGTGTTCCTCTCGGCCGGGGTCGGCCCCGTGGCACCCCCGCACCCTCACACAGGGCCCTGTTTGAAGGCTCCACACTCAAGGCTTGCCGGCTAGGGTTGGGGTGCAAGACAGGAGGGTGCTGTAGCGATGATGCGGCACCGAGGAAGCCGACTGTCATGACACCGAACACGGCAGGCATTGTGGAAGAGAACAGAGCCCTGGCCCAGCTGATCATAGGTCCGAATCAGTGTTTTAATCGTTTCATTTTGAATTGGAGCATAGGATGCCAAAAAAGTAGTGAAATCATTGCTATAACAGGTTC